AGGCATTGTATTATGCAAAAAGCAGCTCAGGAGATTCCCTTTGGAGTGCTGGATTGTTAATCAATATTTCTAACGAAACTGTCTCAAATTAATAGACACAGTCAACTGAAATCAATAAGAATATCCAGCAGGTTAAGTGTTTTACGTACCCTAGCAGAAGCAACTAAATCTGTATTCTCAAAAACGTATTTTTGTTCAGTGAACCTCTCTAGCACTGTGGATGAAGAAGAGAGAGACTGCCAGGTCGATCTCCATATTTGATGGGACGTTGCCACGTCCCTGTCGTTTTTGCGAAAGATAACTTGAATTTTGCGACGGAGGAATAGCAGAGGTTACCCATGAAAGGTCCATCTCGCAAGGTTAACTGAATGGCCCCAAGTATTCACAAGCAATTCTTTGTAACTAGCTAGCTTTTTAAACGCACTAGAATTTCAGCAGACACCCTGATCGATTCCTTCTCACCCGTTGATAAGTTTACACATATAACAAGCTAAAGGATCGACATCACCTTGTTTTCAAATTGTATGCATGGGAACATTTCATACTAATTTTAACGTGAAGCGAAAGCACAGTACCGAATATGTGGATGAAGTAGATTTCTGTTTCTTTTAATTACTACTGTCTATGCCCGAACTCCCTTAAAAGTCACGTCTTTTCTGCAGCAGCACTCCCCATTCTTGAAGCAAACTCTGATGTAGTAACAACCCCACAAAACAGCAGTTTCCAGAAGTGAAGTTAGATGAACTTCGGAAAGACTTTATACCTTTTTCCAAATGGCCGATGTTCTCGTTAACGAAGAACACCACAATGAATCAGACTTATTGATTAGCTGTCAATTTAAATAGATAACTTCATCAATAAAGGTGATAGAACGAACCGCCACATCATTCGGCGATTCTCGACATTACATGACTGTATGTGGTCAATAACATAGCACGGTATATGCAAATACTCACTGGAACATTCTAACGAATAACGGTAAAAAAGTGAGCAATAGACACGGGCTTACTAGCCCTCGAGTTCCCACAATTACCTTGGCTTTCAATGATGCATAAAAATGCCTCTCAGTGATCAGTTATCTCGTGTGGTATCTTCTGTTCAAGTTTAGCTATGTAGAGTATCCCCGGAAGTTATCGACGACCCAAGTAA